ATCAAATTTTATCTGTGTTTTACGTTTTGTGAATATATGGTTTACCTTTAAATCTAACATTTTACATTTGAGAAATAAAATTTGAGTATTTTGAAAAAAACGTCATTCAGTATGATGACTTCAATACATGCTCCCTCTTGTTCTCTTAACATGGTGAGAAGAAATAGAGACAGATACTTTATGTGCTATCTTAGGAGTTAACATATTTTGGTGGATGACAAAGGGTTAAATATTTGCTACGGTTTGGCAACAGAAACTAGAAAAGTTCGAGTTGGGAGTCACACCTGTATTCAAGTAATGACTGCTTTCCCAATGCCCCCTCACCGATCCCTATCTTACTACTTCCCCTAGGCAGGAGACAGTGTGGGCTTTGAACCTTACCCTGGGGAGTGACATTTAGCAGGATAACCATTCGTCCCTCTCCGCCCTGGACTGCCTCTGTCTATGCCTGCCGCTCCTGTATAATTGCTCATATTCTCCTTCACTCTCAAATTGTCCTGGTGTGATGATAAATTATATGGTTACCATAGTGCATGGGCACTAAATTAGGACTATGATAGCTTCCTCCTCTCACTGAGACAAAGTCTGTATGCCACAAATTGCAGTGAGCCCTAAATAGAAACACCTCCCAGCAAATCATTCTACACCCCGTTCACTCTTCCCTTCTTCCCATTACTCCCACAGATGCTCACACATCCCCCGTGGGCCTGCTAAGAGATACCGAGTCATTAAGGGTGAAATATTTCAAAAGATCTGGGATCTAATTGATGTTTACTATTTGTCAGTATACAATTTTAGATGCATTTACAGGGTTGTTGTTGTTGTTGTAATTTGTTTGTTTTTAACAAATCGAGATGGTGAGATTCTCAAAGATTAAGACTTCTTTGCCTCGCCCATGCCTAATTTTGAAGTCTGTGTGCGGTAACCTTACCTTCTTCATTTTTGCACCTCCTTTCCACATTCTGTGATAGCCTCTTGCCCTGCGGGTACCCTGGGGTCTCCCCAAACGTTAACCAAAGGATATGGCATCATACTATTAACTTAAGTCAGTGGGTAACCTTCCCAGGGATGTTTTACTTAATGTCTTCAATTATGGAGACTCTTACTATTTAGAACCTTGCTAAAGGTAGTTGGTTATCCGCACGTGGGTGGAGGTTCAACGTTTCCACCGGGAAAGCTTTGCCCTGCTACTGTTTGGCCACACGGGGAGATTGCTGCCCAGACTTCTGGTTGACAAGGCTGACTCAGGCCGGTTGTGCGTGTGCTTGTCTTGCTTTTCTCTAGAACCATTTAGAGTAGAGATTAAAATAAAATAAAAAAAAGGGAATATCAGTTCAGTAAATTATACTTATGGTTAGGTAGTTAATTTTTTTTTAAAGATGTAGCCATTGATTTCACATTAAAGCAGCCCAGGACATCTCGATATTTAAATTAAACGTGCAATAATGAAAAGGTAATTTAATATGCAATTTCATACATTAATAATTAGCAAAGCATTACTGAACTACAAGGTAAAAAGCTAAGGGAACATAACTAATAAACTATCAATGCCAAAGTACACTTTATAATAAAACGAGACTTTAATAAATGTTTCATTAAATGGCTACAAATGAACCGTTTTGTTAACATCTAATAGGGAACTACTAAGTTACTTAATTCACATACATAAATGAGGACCTCACAGGCAATTAACTTTACAATGGCTGAAGGTCAGGGCTTCTCATGGAGACTTACTGTACTACACCTTTAAGTGCCTGCTATAGGGGCCAAGTCTCAGCTTTTCCTCAGCCACCCTGGAGTCTGGTAGCAGCTATTATCATGCATGGAAGCAGCTGGAGTATAAAATAAACAAAGGAGAAGCTCTAGGCAGTCAAATGGCCTGACAGTGAATTACAGAAAGTATAAGAAATAGTGAGCTCAAAGAGAAGAAATTCCAAGGAAAATTCTACACAAGTGTTGGTCTTCTATGCGGGCACTGATTGTTATTCGTGGGCAATGACGAGAGAATACAGACATGCTTATAAACTAACTGCAAATGCTTGTTTGGATCCCAGTGTGCCGGCAGATCTGAAACTCACCGCGGTTCCAGACCAGAGCTGGTCTATGTTCTGGGCAGAAATGTATACACACAATAATATCGATCATCTCCAGCAGCAGCAAGTGTTAAGTTCATTAGAGAAAGGAAATCAACACTTCTATGGAAGCAAGAAACTGCTGGTGAAAAAAAAAACGCTTTTTTAATAAATCAAAATGAAAGCGATATGAAATCAGATAGGACAAGGTAGAACATATTTTATGTCTTCTCTCCAATTTACATAAACTAAACGTCTACACATCACTGCGATTTTCCTAGATTATTACACACCAATTTGTAACTGACTGCTATCAGTGTATGCTGACAGGAGAGAGGGGAGGAAACAGAGAAAAAATAGAGACTCTTAGCTACATATAACACATTTCACAGTTTTTGGCTTATGTCCCTTAAAGGGCAGTTTCAGAACAGGGAGCATCAGTAAAATGAGTATATGCAAAAATAGAAATAATTGCCAAAGATGAAACTGCACAGATTAAAAACTTGTTAAAGGCAGATATACGTCTAGATAAAGTTGTTAATACAGCTGAAACCGAGCCTGAGAATCATGCTCAACAGGGAACCTTAACTAAAAAAAGGAAAAATCGATGATAAATAAGACCGGTTCTTCATCTGGGAGGTCCAGCCAAGTGAGACTATTACAGAAACCGCAGCTGGGCGTGTGGGTGCGGTGTGCGATTTTCACATCGCCGCCCAGCTTGACGCACTCTGTACCTCCACGTGGAAGTGCCGTGTCTTTACACTAGCAAGGGTGGAAGATGTGAACATTGAAGATGAGAAAATAAACACTACGAGTGAATGAGAAAATAAATACAAGGGGACTTTTTTTTTTTTTTTTTAAGCATGATATACCATTTATAGATTCATGATTCTTTATACATATGAGATAACAGCATCTGGTAGATTTTCTACCTGTGTCAACTCATACAACTATAAAATGTGATTCCATCGATGGCCCAATAGCAGATTGCTTTGCAATGGGATTTCAAGTGGTACTGCATGGATAGCCCGAGAGTGGTTTCTGAGTACAGAGAAACCAGCTACAATTTCACATACAGTCACACTGGGTTGTATTCTAAACAGCCACTTTCTTTCCTGACTTTTCACCAACCCAAATCCATTAGTACACTGTGAGGGACAATAAGAACACATCTTCTCCTTCCCCAAATTATTCCCAGCCACTTCCCTGTAAGACATGGCTTCAAAAATCAGTGACTCTCCTATTGACACTCACAGTTTTTGAGGCTCCTGTGCATATAGAACACCCCTAAAATTAAAGACATTTCTCAAGACTTAACTTGACATATTTCATAAATATTCATCAAAACAGTTATTGTCGCCTACAATGCAATTATCCACATTCAATTTGATGACTCAGCTGTAAAATTACTTTGCTCCTAATAAAATTTTGCCAAGCAACAATAGTGAACCTGTGTTGATTAGTTGTTCCATGGGTGCTAATTAATGACACTGGGTAAATTTAGCTCTGTGCTAATAACCTTGGGGGAGAAAAAAACATGGCTCCACCTTAAGGGAAGAAATCTGCCGTTGGCCTACTTTCCCTTTCCAATTTCTCGTGAAGTGTTTCCAATGACACAAAATAAACAACAACACTCATCTCCTCTTGGACGGCACCACAGACAGAAAGAAAGGGTACCTACAAACTCATTCTTTGGTCAAGAGCAAAAGAAAAAGCAGTAAGACTTTCACTGTTGACCACTCACTCTGAGGACCTTCTGCCAGCTCATCCTCAGGGCAAAATTGGTTTAGATCCTGCATTTAATGGCCAAAAAAAAGCAATTTATGCATAGTGAGACATTTGCTTCATCCAAAGGCTGGGTTAAATGCTAACATCCATGGAGGGGGGGTGCTCTACAGAAGAAGGCATTTTAGGGGACATTCCCCCAGGGTGTCCAGAGGCCTCTATTTCTGGCTTTTCTGAGGGGATGATTTTTGCCTCCGAGTCTAGTGGACGCTTAGGGCAGAACAGAACTAAACACTGACGGGAATGCAGGGGAAACATTGCTGCAAAGCTGCCAACAAGACGGCAGCACGGTGGGACCCACACTCTGCTGTGTGATGCTCCATGTGACGGAGGCACAAACTGTCGAGGTTCTGTCCAGGGACAGAAGGTAACACGTTTCGTACCTGGAGACACTCGGTAATGAAATGGATCAGCTCCAAACAGCTCTTCCTGACCTGTACTTTCATATGAATGGGCTGCCCCCTGTGGGCCCACCTGTGCTACAGGCCCTAACTCGGGGGGCTCCCCAAACACCAGTGCGCCCAGAGCACGCAGCTGGCGAAGCCTCTGGAGGGGAAGGCGAGACGAGCCGGCACACAGGAGTGGGGAGTCACTTCGCATGGCCGCTGATCCCTAGGGCGTGATGGCAACCAGGGGATGGGAGGTCCAGGAAGGGAGGTGTAGCTCAGCATCAGGAAGGACTTTCTAATGGAACTGGCTAAGGGTGAATGGAATAGTCTAGGAAAGAATGATGGAGAGCCGGTACCATCCCCCTCATATTGCAAGAAACCCAACTGTCCGAACAGTCGCCCGCCTCGTGCTAAAGGATCACCCTTGGGCGCTCACTATGCATTTAGACTGGGGGTCACGTTTTACATCTCTGTCCTTTTCTAAACATGTGTGATGATTTGTACACAAGGAAAAAGAAAACAAAAACACAACACAGTAGTAGGGAAAGTTCATGGGCCCAGCAATGAAAAAATGACCAATATCCTGGAACTATTCTTAGAAAAGACAAAACAGAGTACGTAAATTTGATACATTTCTCATGACAAGAAAGGGGTTGGGCATGTTTATCTGAAAATGTTGCTGACTACCACAGAGTTCACGTTCTCCGTGTGGCCCTAACGAGAGCGGTCTGCAAGCCTCGCAGAGAGGAATTACCTGCTTTCCAGTGGTACATTACTGCCAAGGACCCAGCTGTCCTGCAGCTGGACGGACTCGGGTGTGGTTTGCAGCTCGGCGGGCAAAGCAGCCGGCGGGGCCGGACTCTGGTTCCTTCTATTCGTCAGGGAGTTTCTATTGAGAGAAGTGATGGATGGATGATGCTGTGCGGAGTGCTGCTTGTGCGAGGGTGGCAAAGGCTGCAGGGCGGACTGGTCTTGGTTGTTTGCAGGTTGCTCTGAAAACAGAAGAGAAAACTCATTATACGTGTGTATGTGGATAATCATACCCACACACACTACCCACTTCTTGGGGATCCACTGTACATGAATTAGAATTAAAAACGGCATATAGATCCATAACATAAAAATTTGCATATTATTCTATTAAGCGGGTGTTCAGTGACATTCTCTGAGAGCAAGTTTACCCTTGATACACAAAGTTCTAATTAATATACAACAGATGGTAAAATTGCTTTTGGTTTTAATTTGTTTCCGATTTTTTTTTTTTTCATCTGGTTTTATTAACACCTACAGAAAACAGCATCTGACAGCTCCCCTAATGTGCCTTTGGATTTCAGGGTGGTGGTTGTTTTTTTTTTAACAAACCAACCCTGAAATTAAATGGGTAATTTCAGGACAGCACAAAGGTTTTCGAAATGCATATACTCCCAATAATTATTTAATGGAGTTTTTTTAAGCTTTATTTAACTGCAATAAATTATTACAAGCTTAGCTGCTGAACAGCAGCCGCCTACTCCAGTTTAGCGCATTCCCAATACCGCGGATCTGCACTGCGATCCACTAATAGACACTAAGTATTCTTTAGCAGAAGGTCACTCTGTGAAGCAGATGTTGTTTCATGGATATTTAACAGACTGAATCACATCTGATTACGACGTCAGAAGACTCACAGACTTAATGACCGTTACATCCATTAGAACACACAGAGAACAGATTTGCCAATTTCACAGTAAGCAGTAGTATTGCATTTTGAAGTAAGTCATAGGTGACCAGGGCGACTTGTGCCACTATGACAGTGATGCAAACATTTTGTCCTAAATCAGAATCATACAAGGACCCAGCAACTGCCAAATAGAAACATAATGCTAGACTGTAACCAGGAAAGAATTCCCCAAAGCTAAGAAGTCCTAAATTAAAGTTCACAGATTCTGAGGCCTACTTTTCAATTTCATTACCTAGTTTTGAAAATGCTAGAATTCACAAATACTATGTTTTAGCAAACAAACAGATGACTCCTTCATTTAATACTGAATGTATTATGGTTCCACACACAAAGATGCCAATTTTTTATTAAATGTAGTTCAAAGGGCAAAGTAATTTTAAAGTGATGTATTAAACCATGCTATTAATATAAATGCACGTATTAAAAGAGAATAGGAAACATAGGGACTATCTTTCATCTACAATGTGAACTCCAACAGTGATTAAGCCAAATAATATAGTTGAACATTGTAATTCTGGTTTCACGAAATGAATACATGATATAATGGTAGTTTGAATATATATGATCAAACCTCTTTACAGGGTACAACAATTAAAATCACTCCTCCTGTAGCATATAATATCAGTAATTTCTGAATGTTTCCAGTGGTCTCTAATAATCCATATCATATCATTTAACAGCTAATAATTTCTAACTCTTGAAACAAGGGACAGAGCTATCACGTAATATATGAAAATCTGGCTGCTTCTTTGCCCAGTTTGTTCTTGAAGATCCTATAGAAGAAACCAGAGAAATCTTGCTCAGTCCACTGCTTTGGTGCTCATGAAAAATTATGTGTCTAAACCTCAGTTAGATTTAAATTAACCTTTGGGGGATTGGCAGGGTTAAACAGCACCTAGTTTTAATGGTGTTAGGAAAGAAAAAAAAAGAAACTAACAGCTTAAAATTCATAGAAGATTTATTATTCAGGTACATATAGTAATTAATTCGCTTTGTCTTCCCCAGCATCATTGCATATGATTTGAATCTCTATGGATGTCTTCAAGGAACCTTTCAAGAAGCTGCTTATTGGATGATATAATAAGCTACAGTTACCAGGGCCCGGACTAGGTTGGTATCAATGGAATGAATCCAGAGAGAAACACTTCAGAGGGAAAAGCACTAAGACTGTGCCAAAAAGAAGTCGAGGGTTGGGTCAGATGACATTTTAAGCATGGCCCCATGAAGGAATGGCATTATATAATCCATAATTTATTCTCTATATCACATATAGAATATATGATAATTTATTCTATATAATTATCTCTATATTCCTACATAGGAATATAATATAGGAGTAAATATAATATAGGAGTAAATTATATATTAGGTATTATACTATGTAGAAGAAAGAGCATACAGTGGAAGTCATAAGACCACGTTTAATTCCTAACCCTGACAGGGGGCCTCGGTTTTCTCATCTGCAATATGGAAGTAACATTCTGCTCTCTAGCTATTAGTGCAATCTGAGCATTCAATGAAATGCACTCATTCATTCATTTATTCATACCCTTCGTCATCCCACAAACATTTATCAAGCCTCTATGTTCTGAGGGTACCCTGTCAATAACAGGTGAAGGCGCTATGTCAACGGGAAAGCATTACGGATGTTAACATTGTTGCTGAAAGCTAAATGATTTTAAGATCTATTATCATCACACATTTCAGTATGTTGAATTTAAGATTCTTAATCAAGCAAAGAACCATATAAACAGTGGGGAAAGGCTTCCATTTAAGTTTTCCAACATAATGGGTGCCTCTGTGGCTTTCTCCAGGCTCAGTCGTTCGTTCAGCAAGTCCTGGCTGAGGTACAACGTACAAGGCACCATGTGAAGACCCATGCTCTTCGCAGCTGCCTGTCCAGGCTGTCCTAGCACAGTGCGTTCTGCCTGCTGGACCCTCACGTGATTTGCCTGCATAATCAGGAGACTTACCAACAGAACACATCCAGGTCATAACAGCGAGGGTCAATTTAAATTTGGCAGAACAGACTAAGTGCAGAGTCTGAGTAGATGCACTGAATGGCCAGAAATTGAAATTCTGCAGCAGAACACAAAAAGAAGCCAAGCCGGAGGACCCAGCTGGAGGTCAATGCTGGCTGTGGAGATTCGGACTCACAGGACATAAGACTAGTGGAGTATGTATTTATCTACACCAACTTATTCAAGATAGAGTACTGACCAGATAAAATAAAATTAAACAAAGCCACAAAGGAAGATAGCAGAAGACAAAGTGGGAGAGATAAGATAAAGCCAGATGTGCGGTGAGTGGACACAAAGCGTGCTGCATAGTTCTGTGTATTTTTAAAGTAGTATATAAATCTGGTTCTAAATTATATAGTTGCCAAAACAAAGAGAAAAACAAGACCAGTTATACAATTTGGAGTGTTTTCAAGATAAAAAAGTTTGCCTAGAGAAGTATAACTATTACTGGCACTGAGAATAAAGAGAAAATTCTCTTTTAAGTTCTTATAGGAAGAATGAGTGAATATCCAGGGCAAGTTTTATGACCAAGGTTCAAAACTGACACAAGGAAACAGAAAGCAGGGAAAACTTGGAGACAAGCCCTCCGCATCAACACAGGAGGGAAAACCCACACAAGAACAACCAAAGCATCAACTGCAGCCTTTGCTTTAAACTAATCCACCTGATACAGGCTTTGCACAGACGCGAGAAAAAAATTGGGATCTAATGTCTCTGAGTTATAGATGGGACAAGTAGACCTCACAGAGCCACCAGGTTTTATGTCCCTGAAACACAGCTCAACATGTCATTTTACTCTTGAAAAACTCCAAATGGCTTCCTAGATCCTAAAACACACACAATGAATTCAAAAGGCGAATGCAATACTTGTTCAGAGAGAGCCCCACAGATTTTTGCAAACACTTCCCCACAAATCCTCTTCCTGTATATTTTTCCTAGTCAAGTTCGCTGTCCCTACTGCATCCCCTGACCTGTCCACTCACAAGAAAGACATTTCCTTTCATCTTTCTATACCCAAGTCTGATGTATCTTAAGCTCTAAGAGAGATGACACCCTTAGGTTCTCTTCAAGCAGAAGTCAGGTATTTCTTCTCTGAGTCGTACTCCATCTATTCCTGTTGTTCAGGGCTCTCGTCACGTTCCCCTCTGCACCACATCCAACCTTATACGTGGCATGTCCCTTGTGAGAGTCTCCATGGGCCAGGCTCACGTATCATTCCCTTCTGAACCCCCTGAGGACCACACAGGTATAGGCACTCAACACATTATTTAGTGAATGAATGCTGATGTGTGAAGAAGTCCATCAAGAGAAGCTGAAATGGTAAAAACGGGAGCCTGCCCATTTTAACTGTAAGGCGCTTGCAAACATGTCTCATTTCTCCAACTAAATTCTTAGATCCTAAAGGCGGGACTCTAACTTAAGTTTCCTTGGGTTTTTCAGTACCTTCACTAAGCCTGGACTTCAAAGACCTCTAGAAATGTGCCGAATGATTGGAGACATTTAGGTAATGATGGCACGTTGGGGGGTGGGGGTCATCTCATCCAGGCAAGGTACCATGTCACTCATCTTAGAAACTAGTTTTTAAGACATTTCTTTGGAACCATGACTGATGTTCCAATATTTTAAATCCACCTTTAAAGATGTGAAATAATGGAAAGATTATATAAAATATAGAGTTTTAAACATAATTATATAAGATGTATTATAAGTTACAAAATTGAGAAGGTTTTTCCTTAAGCTTATGATTAGAAATGCTCCAAATTAAATAGTTTAGAAAAGGTGTAGGTTCTTTATTCAAAATACTCTTCTCTGCCTTTTTTTTGTTTTCATCCTCTCCAGAGGACATTTTTGCATTTATCTTCAGATAGAGCAGGAGAGAAGAGGGGAAGAGAGAGAGAGAAAAACATCGACATGAGAGAGACACATCGACTGGTTGCCACCCACATGACCCCAACCAGGGCTGGGGACAAACTGCAACAGAGGTACGTGCCCTTAGCAGGAACCGAACCCGGACTCTCTGGTCCACAGGCTGATGCTCTAACTGCTGAGCCAAACTGGCCAGGGCTCTGCCTTTTTAAAAAAATAAAAATTTTGGTCCGGCCAGTGTGGCTCAGTGGCCGAGTGTCAGTCCATGCACCAAGAGGTCGCAGGTTCGATTCCCGGTCAGGACACATGCCCAGGTTGTGGGTCCAATCCCCAGTGGGGGGCATGCAGGAGGCGGCCAATCGATGTTCTCTCTCATCGATGTTTC